TATAATATGGTGGAGTATAATATAATGTATAATATAATGTATAATATGGTGTTGTTTAAAACAGTCTTACCCTCTTTTTTTTTTTTTTTTTGGACTAATAAAACTCGGGAAAGTTCAATGTAACAATGTAAGTTGCACTTATTTTTATTTTATAATTATAAATTGCTAACTTCTGGTACAACTGATAATCAACCCCCCAGCCTTTCTGGTACTGGTCCAACCAAAGAAAACAGACTCTGATGTAAAACCAGACAATAGACTGCACCGATTTGGTAATTCAGCTTTATGAATATGTTATCTTCTATCTCCCCTGTACGAGTCAGAGCAAACCTTTAAACAGTGAACCTGTTTTTACTGAGGAGATTCATACGCTGATAAATGGAGATACATTTTGTACCCGGCCGCCATGAACTGAGGGATGGAAGCATGTTAGATGCATGTTGAGAGGAAAACATGTGTCTTAAACTCCCCTCTGGCTTCATGTTAATGCTTGTGCCCAACAGATAAAGCATGAACAAATACCTCATGCTGATAAGAACGTCTCCGTTGCGGAAGATGAAGAGGAGAATGTTCTCTTGAGTGACGTCATGAAAGTTGGCACTCTTCTCGTTGGCGAAGAACAGATCCGGTTTCCAGAGACACTTGAACATCTTGGGATCGACCGTGAGCGAATCTGACTTGAAGTCTTGCGGCAGCTTCAGCCTGGGGTCATTCCAGCGCTGCCGCAGGAAGATGTTCACCCTGTAGTCCTGTCAGGTCCAACACCAGACCCAAACACACAGTTAGATCTGAAGTCAACAGGTCGATGAGGAGTACAGCAAGAACAGGCACATGCTCCTCAAAGCAGAAGAAAGGTCAGCGTTGCTTTTAAGATTGTTTAAAAATGGCTTAAAAACATACATTTATGCAATAAAACATGTGCGTTCTTGCACTCGAGTTGTTTTTTCCCCGTCTGAAACATTTACGCTGCAGATTGACATTTTACAAGTGCAGCTCATACTTGCTGGTTAACGAGCAGAGAACGGCTCGGTGCAAAGGTCAGATGTTATCAACACACCAGCATCACATCTCCCATTAGACAGCGAATGGAGGGGGATGGGGGGGGGGGGGGGGGATCCACATTCCTGCTGCTGGGAATGGATCGCTGAACTGGTCTTTGACCATGGGGAGAATTATTTTTTTCATTTTGAGGGTGAAAATGGATGGAATGTCAAAAGCTGTCAGAGCTGAAACATGTTCAGCTTTGTGGAAAATGTTTGAGTTTTGAGTAAGAAATAAACTTAGAGAATATCCATCCATCCATCATCCATCCAGCCAACCATCCAACCATTCATCCATCCATACATCCATACAAACATCCATCCACCCAACCATCCAACCATTCATCCATCCAGCCAACCATCCAACCATTCATCCATCCATCCATTCATCCATCCATCTATACAAACATCCATCCAGCCATCCATCCAACCATTCATTCATTCATCCATCCATTCATTCATCCATCCATCCATCCAGCCAACCATCCAACCATTCATTCATTCATCCAGCCAACCATCCAACCATCCA